AAAGATTTAAGTTTAAATCATTCGGTTACTAATAAGGATGACAACTAGAGAGTATACCAGTCGTTAACTTAACGTTACGAAAGATTAATCGAGTTGTACTAAAATTGATTCGAACACTCTTGGTCACAAAAAATAAATAAATAAATAACATAAATAAAATATATCACTCATTATTCGGAGTATGAATTGGTCTGTTTTTTAATTGGGCTATAAATCCTTGCCACAGCCCAATAGAATAAGACTTGAAGCCCATAGCTGAGTGCAAAAATATGGGCCCCGGGTCCTCCTTATTTCCAAAATGCAAAAGGCAGTGGAATATTTTAACAGATTTTGACAATTCCGATGTTGAATATTTGTTTGACGTTTCTAATGGACTAAAATCCTATTAACTCCATCTGCCATTCTTGAAATTCGATGGAGATGTACTAATTTGATTGGCCTAAGCTTATGTTATTATTTAGGCTGCTTTTGACATTTCCTGTGTTCATATGGGTTAACCACTATCTTCCATTCTCGATCGTTGGAGTAGTCATTAGATATGGAAGCACGAATTATTTTTGGAGAAAAATCTGCCTATCACTGACAAGAACAACTTTATATGAAACAACTCCAAAGCTAAGAATCAGCATTCAGCAAGCTACTCAAGTGAAAATTTGGGATATGTGGTTTTGGTTGTGGACTGGTGGAATAGGATTAGCCTGAGTTATTAAGAGTATGTAAGTCTGTTTTTTGGGACTTGTAATTGGTGCAAGAACTTTGTTGAGTATTTTAACTCCTTCTCTCTCTCTCTCTCTCTCTCTCTTCTCTCTCCTGTATACTTTGTTTGTTTGTTTGTTTTGATGTGTGTGTAGTCTAGTAAAAAGTAAAAACCAAGTGCTGATCTAAGAAAGGTTAGGAACCAACGAAAAGGTTTGGGACCACTGAAGTCACATAAAATATTCTAGTAAAATGTTCTCTAGAAACGAACAACCAATTACAGAACAGAACAACCGGAGGGATAACGAATTAACTATAACAAGATTGAAACTCTTATAACCATAAACCTTTTCTCCACTATAATACAATATTTTCCCCTAGATGAAACTCTACAGAAGCCACATCTGATGGAAACTGCAATTCCAAAACAGAACTGCATTAACACTCCCGAGCTTCCATTGCAGTACACCAACTCTGCACAGACCGCAACTCTGCTGGAAACTGCAAAAGAAAAGCTACAGACTCTGAAATTAAATTAACCCAAAACTCCATTAAACAAGTCTTAGGGGTCCATCTCCATACAGTCAAAAAATGAAAACCCCCCACGTAAACAACCCGAACAGCCAAACATCAACCTTTCAAATCTCTTCATCCCAAACAAAACATTCATTCATTCAATTTCTTCCACTCCAGAACCCAAAGATTCAGAACTTCAAAAATAAAAAACCATCTCAGAAACGAAACCCACAGATTTTCGACGACAAATGAAAAGCACCAAAAAAAAAAAAAAAAAAAAGAGTCAAGAGTCTTACTTATCTAAGCAGGCGGCGGCAACGGAGATGCAGATTTTAGAATTGCAAATGGAGAGAGAGATATGTTAGGAAGGGCAGCAGGTGGGGAGAGTTTAGGGAATGGGATGAGAAAGAGGATAGGGTTTGGGAAAAATGGATATATATACTTAAGATAATACTGTAATTAAATATATAGTAAAAGGGTAATTAGTAAAATTGACATTAAAATTTTCAGGCCGTACCGGGCTGGGCCGGGAGAAGATATACCCATACCTGGCCCGTACCCGTGGTCGGGCTTTGAAATCAAGCCCAGGCCTAAGCCCAAGCCGTCACCTATGGGTAAAGCCCAGCCTTTCGGGCCAGGCCGAGTACAAAAATCTCGGGCCCATTGCCATCTCTACTTTAGAGTTTTTACTCAAAAGATCTTAAGTTAAATCACTTCGGTTGCTATAAGGATGACAACTAGAGAGTATACCTAGTCGTTAACTTCAAGGTTATGAAAGATTAATCGAGTTGCACTCATGTTGGTTCGAAAACCCTTGGTCACACAAAAAATAAATAAATAAATAAATAAAATAATTATCACTCATTATTCGGAGTATGAATTGGTCTGTTTCTTTAATTGGGCTATAAATCCTTGCACAGCCCAATAGAATAAGACTTGAAGCCATAGCTGAGTGCAAAAATATGGGCCCGGGTCCTCCTTATTTCCAAAATGCAAAAGGCAGTGGAATATTTTAATAGATTTTGACATTTCCGATGTTGAATATTGTTTGACGTTTCTAATGGACTAAAATCCATTAACCCATCTGCCATTCTTGAAATTTCGATGGAGATGTAGATAATTTGATTGGCCTAGCTTATGATTATTATTTAGGCTGCTTTTGACATTTCCTGTGTTCAATATGGGTTAACCATATCTTCCATTCTCGATCGTTGGATGTGTCATGGAGACGTACATATTTGACTTGCCTAAAATCATAATTTAAGATTTGAATCTCGCTGTAGTAATTAAACTTCTCAAACTTTGAATATGGACAGGCAGGTAAAGCAAGAGAATGAAAGTTGGAACTCTGAAAGGAGACAAAGACTCTTGCCTATAGTGCTTTGGGTATGTTATGCCCAATAGCAAGAACTGATAAACAAACAAAACAATCAAATCAAGAAACACAAGAAATACCACAGATATCAAACACACAGAACACGCCACAATTTACCGTGGTTCACTTATCCTTTTATGGATAAGCTACATCCACGTTGAGCACAGAAAGTATGAGCTCGCTGCAATTCGATTACCAGAAACCAGTCAAGATTACACAGACTTCACTCACCAGATTTACCCGTTTTACAACAGCACATCATTACAAGATACTCTAAGAATATCCCAACCCGAGAGAACAACACTCTCACCTGAATGATTAAACCCTAATCACTCGACTGTACTCACAATCTGGAATGAATCTGAACCCTAACACAGAGAGAATAGCCGACTCAAAGAATAACCCTAGCTCTTGTTTTTCTCTCTTTTAGAATGACTGTATCATGGCTTATATATGGTTGACTCTGTGAGTGTCCTGGCCGTCAATTGTGAACGAATCCTGTGGTCTGCATTTGCCCACACTAATACGCCTGAACGACGCCGTATTAGAGTTACTTAAACGACGCTGTTTTCAGGCTTCCACATTTAAAAGGGTACGTGTTATGTTACTTTTCCTCTTATATATATATATATATATTATATTATATATATATATATATATATATATATTATATATATATATATATATATATAATATAAGACTACTGCACTTTTGCCAATTGCTGACATCTTTAATCACAACTCATAGTTAGGTTGAAATGGCCACCATCAGTATTCTAATATTAACTACATATCATATAAACCCCCCAATGATAATTAATCTTAATATTTCTGTAAACTCTTATGTCAGCATATGTTAGTCGAAATCATATATCACATTATATTCAATATCATACATTTTCTTCGTATCATAAACTGAGATGGAGACGCAACAAGTTCAACACATGCAGCAAACACAACCAACGTAGCCATAGTGCCAACTCCTGGGATGGGTCATTTGATCCCCTGGTTGAGTTAGCTAAGCAACTCGCTTTTCATACAACTTCCTTGTCACCTATTTCCCACTGATGGCTCACCTATGAAGCCCCAAAGAAGGTGCTTCAGTTCTGCCCAACTCCATTTCCACAATCTTTCTTCCCCTGCGAATTTTGACGATTGCCTGAGGACGTTAAAATCGAAACTCGGATCTCAGCCTAGTTCGCCTATCCGCCTTACGAGAGACACTCAAGGTCTTAACTGAGTCAACTAAGCTGGCGCGCTAGTTGCTGATGTCTTTGGCACGGATGCATGGAAGTGGCTAAAGAATTCGGTATTTTGCGTTCATTTTCTTTCCTTCAAACGCCTTGTATGTCTTCGTCCTTCATTTGCCTGAGCTTGATAAAAAGGTCACTTGCGAGTTTAGGGACTTGCCCGAACCGCTCCAACTTCCGGGTGTGTCCCAATACACGGGCGTGATCTCGCGGACTCGGTACAGGACAAGAAAAGTGAGACATACAAATGGCTTCTTGGGTAGCTAAACAGTACCACCATTTTGCTGCTGGGATTATGGTTAATAGCTTTATGGATTTGGAACTGGGGGCTTTTAAGGCTTTGATGGAGGAGATCGATCAGGTTTTAGGCCTCGGTTTATCCGTGGACCGCTAATTCAGAATGCTTTTATCAATGAGGCTGAACATGAGCAATCTGATTGTTTGAAATGGTTAGAGAGCAGCCAAGTGGGTCAGTGCTATTTATTCTTTTGGGTAGGGGGGACTTTACAGGAGCAGTTAAATGGATTGGCCTTAGGACTTGAAATGGTGGGCAAAGATTCTCTGGGTTTTAGGAGCCCGCATGAGAGAGCTGCAAATGCTACATATTTTAGTGTCCAAAGCATTGAAGACCCTTTTGATTTCTTACCAAAGGGGTTCGTGGAAAGAACCAAGGGGTGGGTCTAGTGGTTTCTCTTGGGCTCCAGGTTCAAATACTGAGCATGAGTCAACGGGAGGATTCCTAAGTCACTGTGGGATGGAACTCAATCTTGGAGAGCATTGTACATGGAGTGCCTCTCATTGCATGGCCACTCTATGCAGAACAAAAGATGAATGCGGTGCAGCTCACAGATGTTGAAGGTGGCATGAGGGTGAAAGTGAATGAAAATGGCTTAGTTGGAAAGGAGATTGCAAGTGTGCAAGGGTCTAATTGGGGAGAAGAAGGAAAATTATTAAGGATAATATGAGAAAACTCAAGGGTGCTGCTGCAAATGTTTTGAGTCAGGGACGGATCATCTACTAAATCACCTTGCCCAAGTGGCGCAAATATGGAAGAATCAGAAAATAATGTGGTCGGTTACAATTACAATTGTCTTCTTGAATTTTTTTTCAATCATTTTGCAGAGTGTTTTGCTTCATAATTAACAGGACTTCAGTTCGCCATATATTATAGCAATAAGCTTCTGCTGTCATTTTGAATTTATGAAACCATTTATTGAGTGTACTTTCGAGAAACACCGAATAAAGACTACAGAGATTTGTGTTTTCTTTTCTTTTTCTTTATTTTGTTTATGATTTCTCTTTCATACAAGCGATTAGGATGATGATTAATCCGTTTTCGCACGTCTTTAAGTGATCGTCTGGTAATTAGAAATCCTTGCTATAGCCCGATACAATATTGTTTGAAGCTCGCAGTTCAGCCCAAACTCTGGGCCTCGAGTCTTGCGAAACGGCCCAGGGAGGGAAGGTTTAGGGCTTAAGGCGTTTAGCCTTTACTCTTCTGTGGTCAACCGAGAGAGAACCTCCGAGTTAGAGTTTCACGGCCGGGGTGTACGGACATGGAGAAGCCTATAGTGACCCTTGATAAAGACACAACATGCTCGTCGTGGAACTACTGTGGCCAGCGACTGGCCACTGGTTCTGTCGACGGCACGCTCTCCATCTTCGACTCACGTGACCCTGCTTCTTCATCCTTCACTTGCAGCTCCAGAACTAAGGTTAGTATTCAGTAACTCCTCAGATGGTTCTCACTGCAGCCTTGCAAATCAAATTTAGCTCCAAATTATCAATATACTATCAATTCGGAAGTCTAAACGCATTCAAATTCATTTCTAATTGACTAATTTTTACCCGAATATTACTTTATTGTTTGATTAGGTGTATGACGGCGGCATTATAAAGGTGGTTTGGGTTCCACCTGAATATGGTGACGCGATTGCTTGCATTTGTATTGATGGTAGTTTGTTGTTGTGGGAAGAGGTTGTAGAAGGTATTTTGTTCACATAATTTTCATATTTCTTTAACTTTCATGTTTGTTTGGTGTGTTAATTGGATTTTTTGTTATTATTAAGACGCACAACCTCTTCAGTGGAAGCTTTGCAAGAGCTTTAAAACCAATTCAGCTCAACTGTTAGATGTTCAATTTGGAGTCTCCTCGACTAGTTTAAAAATGGTGAGATTAAATTATCTCTTTTTTTACTGCCAAAGTGTATGTGTTCTTTTGCTGAAGAAATCTGGATTCAAAAAGTTCATTGTTTTGTGTCAACTTCGCAGGTTGCTGCATACTCGGATGGCCATGTTAGAGTCTATGAGCTCCCTGATCCCTTGGAACTGAAAAATTGGCAATTGCAGGTGATTACCATTGGCTCATATTACTTCATAGTTTTATTGTTTCAAAATTTGCTGAAACACTGATGGCTATGTTTCTATGGTAAACTGGAAATTCATAAGTGGCAACTTTTTGTTTTATTTTACAATTCTTGTTATCTTTCCTGCTGCAGTAAAACTATCTTCATCACTTGTGCAATAGAATTCTTCCTCAATGACTTTTCTTTTTTCTTTATGTCCTTATTCCCAAGCTTTTCTGTCATGAGCTTTGCTTAAATGGTCTTATTGCCTTGTATGACATTCAGATATTTGACTCCACTTTTGTTTTTCCTTTTATGTCTGTTAATGATTTTTCAAAGCTGATTTTTTTTCTCTGTTTTAAGAATTTGGAGTTGCTCAACTAATTGATATCTTTCTTGATCCAAAAGTTCACAACTTAGATTTTTTATTTATTTAATTGATTTGAGTGTCAATAGAGATATTGATGATAAATTTACTTCTGCTGCCTATGTGTTGTGCTTTATGCATAAACTGGCTCTGGAAGTGTAGCTATGGTAGAATGTTCATGCATGATAATTGCCAGCCACTTTTTCAAGCTTTTTAGTCTAGAATATGTGACATATATTGTGTCTATCTTGGTTTATCTTATTTTTCAGCATTTCATGATCTTTTATATAGTTTATTTCTCTATATTCTGTTTCTTCTTCTTATTCTTTTTTTTTTTTTTCCCAGGCCGAATTTCAGAATGTTATTGAGTCATTGGCTACATTTGCTAGAGCTTCTTGCTTGTCGGCTTCAATTTCTTGGAATCCACTAAAGGGTGAAAACCAGGAATCAAGCTTTGTTCTAGGTTTCAACTCAAATACGCCGCAACTCAATTCCTCCAAGGTGTGCTAGATTATGTATGTCTTATTGATAATTCTTGATTTCTGGTAATATTCAGGGTATGGAATGGTAATTATATCAAGGCACGTATTTTATTGCTCAAAGTTCTAGTGAACCTGATGAGATTTAATTGATGGTTGTATCTTGATGTTAGATATTGCTTTTGTTGAGTTATTCTGTATTATTTCTAATGACTAAGAATTAAGCGATCAGATTGTGATAAATTTCAACAGGTGTGGGAATTTGATCAGGCTCATAATAGATGGTTACCAGTAGCAGAGTTGGCTTCACCTGAGGATAAAGGTGATCCAGTTTATGCTGTTGCTTGGGCACCAAACATTGGCCGGTGAGTATCTGTGTGTATATCTACATATGAAAAAGGCTTCACCCCTATATTCCATGGGTCTAGTTGAATGAAAATAGCCTCAGCTATTACTGCCCCAGAAGTGCCTTTTTGTTAGAACAAAGGGAAATATGATTTGATTCCATTCATGAGATAACATTGAGCTTTAATTTTCTTGTAGGCCATATGAGGTGATAGCTGTTTCCACTCAGAAGGGCATTGCAATATGGCATGTTGGACTAAACCCTGATTTGGGTGGAAGGCTCTCAGTAGCAAAGGTTGCATCTCTCGAAGGCCATGGAGGCGAGGTATCAATTCCAACGTCTTGGATTCATTCTGACTGTTAATTATTATTATTATTATTTTTTTTTTTTATGCAAATAGACATACTTCAAATGGAACGTTTATAAATTACTATTGACATAAATATGGACCCTCTACTTAATTGATAGAGGATAGTGGAGGTTCTATGTTTTGATGGAGAGCAAGAGCTTGTATGATGTGAAAGCCTGGAATATTTTTCATTTTTATGGGAAGGAAAAAATGTTAAAATAATGAATTTCATTTTCATTGTGAGCAGGTGTGGCAGATGGAATGGGATATGAGTGGAATGACCTTGGCAACTACAGGAAGTGATGGGATGGTAAGGTTGTGGCAGTCTAACTTGAATGGTGTATGGCATGAGCAGGCTACCCTTGTGCCCACTTCTTAGCATGGAGTTTTGTTTCCCCTTTGCGTGTTTATCTTGTCTGAATATTTCACTTAATTTAAAGCAATTTCTCTTATTCCTTAGGATTGATTGAGGACTGAGTGTAAAAACCTTTTGAGGTTGAAGATATTGGGAAGATGTGTAAACTTAATAACTTTTATTCATTGCAGACCGATGTATACTTAATTTAGCAATCTCAAGTGTTGAGCTTACTAATTGGAAAAATATATATTTGCTCAAATCAGCCCATCATGGAGTCATCTGTCAATTCCTGGCTTTGGTTCGCTTTGTTTATAATCTTTCAGTTCGATGGTTATTTCTCATCTCTTTTCATCGTTTCACCAATGATACAATCTTAAACAAAAAGTCAGGTGAAATATTATCCCTAATTTTTTGGTGACAAGTTTATTCGCACCTTAATTAACTTATGGGATCCATTGAGTATTGAATATCTTACAAACCCCTTTTGAGTAATTTAAGGTCTTACAACCGTCCTACAAGCCTAGTGGTTGAAATGAGATATTATCCTACATCAGGTTTTCTACTAGTAAACGTATTTTTACCTCGAGTAATGCTATAATTATTGAAGGATGTGTACCGAATGACGTGGCACAATCTTGATGATTGATTTATTATAAGTTAATATTAATAAACAATTAGGATTTTATCACGTCATTCGGTGCATAGATTCGATGTCTAATTTTCGGTAACCCTATCATTTTCCTTTTCACCTATTGCATCTATTTGGGCCAATAATATCGAACCATGCCATTGAAAGGTACTCGAATCAAAACGCTTGGATTTAAGTTTAACCAATAGCATTTGGATTCTTTGAAGTCCTCAAACGATGCCGTTTTCTTCTTTGCCGTTTAATCCCGAAATCTGTCTTTACCCCCACATGGCCACTCTTTCAACCTTGTAATTATATAGATGGTAGATAACTACTTCCTGCAAAACAAGTCATGGCGATTACTTGTCTCCAACCTCAATGGAAAATACCCACTTCTTATAAATCTGGCACCTTTTTAGTTACTTCGTCTTTCTTGCAAACTCCACGAACAAATCCATGTGGGCTAACCAAAGATTTGAACTGCTACAGAGAGAGAAGACTCATTGTTAAGATGAGGAGAGACAATAAAGTACGTGGATGGTTACTGCCAGTTGATCCATGGGCACCCAACATTGACTCAGAGAGCATAGCTTCACAGCTCTTTGCAGCGTCTTTGTTTCCCTACCTTGGTTTCTTGTACTTCATTACTAAATCAAAGTCCGCCCCTAAGCTTACTCTTTTCGGCTTCTACTTCTTACTCGCCTTTGTTGGGGCCACCAGTAAGTTTATTCATCAACTTTCTTTCTGTTATTTCTTGATTGACATTGCAAATGGAAGTTAATTTGTTTCTTCTTATTGTATTATCATTTTATGTTTTGTGCAAGGCTTGATTTTTGTTTACCTCTTTAGGATTTGGATGATCGGAAAATTGCTGCACATTAACCTTTGAAATTTTAATAAAGTAAAACAAAACAACATTTTGACAATACCCACATGAAGACTTAGCATTAACTATTGAAGTACATTTTTCAGTAAAGTGATATTATCTAAAAATTTGTCGAAATTGTGAATGGAACTACGAGAAAATATGGGCTTTATGCTCAAATGCATGAATATTGTAGCTTGCTTGTAACCAATATTAAGAGTTATGACTAGGAAACTCTTTTGTCTAAGTGAAGCTGTTGAGTAGCAACGGTATCTTCTTTTTAGCTCTCACATATTGAGTGCAGGTATGTTTTAATCCCAAACTATGTGATGCAAAGGCTGTTAATCAATACTGGGGCTATGGGGTTCTTGTGTGTGATAGACTGTGGGGTTCATTACCAGTCTTTATGAATCTGAAATTATCGTTATGGCCATTATTTTTTTAATGTTAAAATTGTGTGTTTCTCAGATGAATTTCTTTTCTTATATCTATATGACTTTGTTGCCGCACTTTAGTTATTTTACCTTGTTTCTTTCTATCCCTGCTTTCTGGTAGTTGTTGACAATTCCTTTAGAGTTGATCATGGAGTTGGTCAGATATAGCCTCAAACTTTCCTGGTTAGAGAGGGGAAAAAAATTAATGGAATCCAACTTTGCTAGTACATATTAAGATAGTTCTCTCCTCTTCATCATAGAAATTTCTAAAAAGAACTTTGTTTTGGTTCAGTGTTGTATAATTCTGAGTGACTAACAAATGCTTCTTGTTGTGTGAAGTTTTTCCCTTGGCTAACAAGATATTCTATTGCAAATTTTTCCTGCTGTTCGCAATTGTAAATTGCTGTCAGAAGCTCTGTTCCAACTCTAATAATTTCTTTCATTTTTGGTATCTGACACCCTCATCCCTTTTGAGCAGTCCCAGCTGGGATTTATGGTAACTTCTCAACATTGAGCAAAATTTACTCTTAACTCATATTCATCTGCATAGATAGAGATGCCCGATCGTGGTTTCTGGATTATGACTATTCTTCATGCTTGATACAGCAAAGGTGCACTATGGAACTTCCTTGTCTAATGTTGACTGGTTACATGGTGGGGCTGAGTCGCTTCTTACTTTCACCAATATATTCATTGTGTTGGGGTTGAGGCAAGCTCTTAGGAGAGCTGGAGATTCAGAACAAAGCAAACAAAATGTTGATCCACAGATCAAAGAGGAAAAACCTTCCATCTAGATACACGTTCTTCTGGACAGGTTTATAACTTTTTTTCTTTACATATTCACCACCTTATTTTAATACTACATGCCCTTCTATGTTCTGTTGGATTATTCTACTTTTCTTTTCTATATTCTCACTTAACATGGATCTCTTCATCCCTGGTACATGCTCAAGTTACTCATGTTTGTGCTCTGTTTTCAGGAATTGTTACCCTTGCTTGCATTCTAGCACATCGTTGACTATCTCTGTTTACTGCAGAGAACTTTCTTATTATCTCATATTGTACAATTCTCTCTATCTAAAATGATTTGTTTTGGTGGAGAATTACATTTATAATTCCTTTTTCTTCTGTCATTTTCTCTGCCAAATATAAGTAGTTTCTATAATTCTTTAGGAGTGATAATCTCTCTTCAATCTATGTCCAGCAAATTGCAGATGTTTTTTGGTTCTGACTTTCATGGGAAGTGTATTGAACATCTTTTGCAAATTAAATTGATGTATATGTTCTGTCTCTGCATTCTCATTACCATGTAATGCGTTCTACTAGAGTTGCTTGTATTTGATGCTTAAAAACTTCTTCTTGTGTAATTTCTTTGTACCTTGAAATAAGCATGGCCTAATCTGTATGAATCCCTTGCACATGTTTCGCGTACTGCCACAGCATTTGCTAAAAGCGACCAAGCATTTCTATATTGAATTTATTACAATTACTCTTCAATCTTCATAAACAAACTGGAAAAGTTACAGGTACGATAAGTAACTAGTCCCTATTTCTAAGCCAACCTGAAACAAGGCTCTTATGCTCCTAAAATGGCTCTCCCCCTATTATGATACAAGCTAAGAGAGGCAGGCGCACCAAATCTTAAGTAAGATGCACACCAAATTCCAGTTATTTCTTTGTTCTTATCATTTTACATTGAACTAGTGCTAAAAGGAGAACCCTGCGTTGCCAAATGGGAAGTTTGGATCAATATCTGCTGGATCAAGTGAGAAATCCAAGTTCAAAATTGGAGAAGTGGCAGCTGAGTTGTTAGCCGATAATAGCTCTGTGAGATCAGATTCTGAACGCGGCATATTATGAACATCTCCGAAGTTGTTCATCTGGCTTGGCGAAATTAAGAAATAGTTTGAATCACCAGTGGCGTGAGAGCCGAACGATGAAGAGAAACCACCCAAGAAATTGTTTTCATCAAGCATTGGAGGGGGATAGCAAGGAGTCTCACTCTTGCATCCGTATGAGGTTGAAGGAAAAGAGAAAGGACATGCTATCTCTTTATTTTCCAAGCCATTGTTATTGATGCTTAGTCCTTCTCTCAAGTTAAAGAGTATTCCTTGTGACTGTTGTTGAGCACGATTATTATTATTATTATTATTATTGTTATTATTGCGGATTAGTTTCTGTTCTTTTTTCTCTGGTGAAGCTGGTTGTGTAACTGAGTTGCCATGCGAACAAGTGTGTGTTCCTCTGTATGTAATCTCAAATATGGTGGGGTCTTCATCTGATCTTTGAACTTGCTTTGTAGCCCAACAGTTCTGTGTATTCCGGTAAGTGCATCTGTAATAGCTTCTGCAAATTATAAAAATAAATAACAGAATTAGATTTCTGATAAAGTAAAAGGTAAATTCATTGAGCTCTCATTACTTTTCATTAGGATAAGAGAAATCAAAGACATTTATTACCTCGGATATCTGGCTCCAAGGATATCTTTCTGGCCGTATTTTCTCCAGCTGTAGCCATCTTCGTGGGGTCCTTCGAGTCCACTCTCAAAGCTAACTCTCACTTTATCTGTCCACCTAGGCGTCGTCTTTCTGCAAACAAATATCGAAAACATATCCAATAAGCCAAAGCTTTTAGAGCCATATTATAAGACTAATTACCACTTAATTTGGAATAAAAAATTACCTCTTTTTTAAGCTATCTGGTTGATCTTGATTATCCTTAAAAGTCCCATCAAGATCGTCGCTCTGTGGACTTCCATTGATGGATATTGGAGACTCTGGCACAGCCGTTATTGCTCCGGCAGTCGGAGTTTGTCCAGTTGGACCATTCCATTTGAGAATCAAAAGTGCTTTCTCGTATGAAGTTAATATCTTCCGGACTAACTCTTCATTTGTTTCAGTCGAAGCTGTTGTACCCAAATGTACTCTCAACTGTTTCGCCAATTCCATCCCTTCAATTAGCTCATTTGTCAGTGTCTTCTGCTCCCAGCTGAACCCGTTCTCCATTTTTAATCACTTTCTGAAGAGGGATCACAACCAACGAATTGTTTTATTTTAGCTCGTTATCGAGAAGCAAAGTAACACTTCTGACAAAAGAGCAGAAGTAGAAACCAAAACGGCAACCAAATGACCAGAATGTTGAAGAGTAAGAAGAAGCTACGATCATGAAATAAGCCAAGCCTGGAAGTTGAACTCTTTGGAGAAAGTAGTTAAAGCTGTTGGTTTTGAAGAGCAAATTTGAAGCTTTTGGTATTTAAAGGAACTAATGAATTGTAGAAAGTTTGAAGTTTGACTGAAGAAAACGAGTTTTTCAGCATAGACTGGTCTTTGGTCAGAAGAAGTGAAGAGTGATACTCATAGAGTGTGGAGGTTCAAATGTTGACCGATTCTTCCTTCATTAATACTTTGTTTAAAGCCCTCTTTTAGTCATGGCCCTATCTCTTGATCTTGATTTGCTCTTAATGTGATGATTGAGATTAAGAATAATTTATTAAAAATTAATAACAAAGTCAGACTTAGACCAAGAAATTTCAAATCTTATAACGTGTTTCATACTCTGTAATATCCTCTAAAATATCTAACTTTGATTGCCCATGTGGCTCATAACTTTTAGTTGTTTTGGGAAGTAAGACCTAGTCAAATAAGTGCTTAATTATTAAGCACTTGAGGAATAAGTGATTAGTGAGTGAATATACTAATTCTAAGACCCAATAAAATAATTTCTTAAATGGGTTCTCTTCAATTTGGCAAAAGAGTTAGTAATTGACTGCGTTGATAAAGTAACAATAAAAAATATATAAAAACTAACCATAATATTATTTTGAAATTTAAACCTATTATTGGATAGCTCAAATGATAAGACGAGCGTTAGAATGGGTGGTTAAAACATATAGTTTTAGATTTAAATCCTCTTAACTATCAATATTTAAGTAGGTGATCATGACAGTTAATCAAAGAATATGTAAGCCGACCTCTTTAAAAGAAAAAAAAAAAAAAAAGATTTAAGGAGGTGATACTGTACGTGCAAGCTGCCGGAGGCTTTGTTTTCAGAAAAAAACAAAAAATATTGTCTTGGGTAGTAACAATATTATAAGAAAATCATAGACCCAATTAGAGAAATAATATTGGTCAAAATATAAAATAGTTGAAAGACCCATTCAAACTCTAGAAAGCAAATATGAATCCAAAAGATAGTAAAAGAGTCAACAAAAAATTGATAAGGCTTGCAAGATTAGAATTCCATTTTGCATTGGCCAGCAGATATAATAACCGCGTTTTTGTGGAAAAAACGACGGGGTTCTGTTTGTTTGAGCAGTAGAGTCACCAGTCACCGTTTGCCATTGTGGATTGAGTCTTGACCACGCTCCAGGAGTTATCATGTTAAGAAATTGACCAGAAGCATGTTATTTAGCTCTGGATTATTCTGAAATTGGGACTCTTTTTTTTTTTTTTTTTTTTAATCGGACTGTCCGAACCAATTTGTATACACTTCAACTAATCTTCGAGATTCATTGAATATCTAGATGACTAAATTCTTACTATCCAGTCACAAGATTATTTGTTATCTAAAATTGGATTTGATGGCACATTAACTATTTTGTTATCACCTATCCTAATTTATTAGTTAAATAAATGACCAGTTTAAAGTATTGATTATACTTGATTTATACAAATAATATGCTTTTTTTTTTTTCAAAATTATGAAATAATGTATAAAAATTGTAAAGTTAAATAAAAAATATATAAAAGAGGAAGTGTAAATAGTAATTTTCAGGAACCCCACTGTATTCATAAATATCTGCCCCCACTTTTTAACAAGTTGTGGGGGTTTCAAGCCCACGGCTCCTTCAGCACGGCCTTTAGGTCTCGCTTTTATCACAAGTTTTTGGGCCTGAGCTGCTTCATGTGTAAATTAAGGTGAAGACAAGAGGTGCCTCTAAAGCCTTTAAATCAAGATGGGCAATAGGTGATTCGAACCTTGAAGTCAATTAAGAGTCCAACAGAATAGCTGGGTTTAAACCTGGACATGCCGCTAAGATGTCCGATAGCAGTAATCGTCAACTAAGCTAGTCATCGCCTGGTTAATCCATATAGTAAGATTCAACTTAAATACTTCAAACTATATTACTTTTTTTTTTTTTTTTGATAAACCTGGTAATTGCCTCTCTCATGACTTGAACACAAGACCCTTGAGTATAACTAATCTCAGTAGGTTTATCATTCGACCATAAGGAAAGAGTTAACTATTTTAGTTTTACGAGATAATTAAAATGATTATTTATATATATGCAGCCAATTATCTTATAAATGACTTGAGACTGTTTCAATAAAACCAAAACTTCAAGTATAGATACTTGCTAATTCAAACCTCTGATAATCATGAAATATGGATAAATGTATTAAGAATTATGTTAACCACGTCCGCTAAATAGAAACATTAAACTAAAACCCCATACAAAATGAGCATCTAGAAAGAAAAAGGTCATATACAAATAATGAAGAACCATAAGACCGAATTACCTGGGATGTCTATGGTCATAAAAAATTACAGAGCCAACCATTAATAGTAATAGAACTCTGTGCAAAGTTTTCTCATGTGATATGAGTTATCGCCCTTTGATCACTTATATTACCCCAAACATCTTACTACATTTTTCAACTAAAATGGAATATTATTATCGAAATGGAATTGTACATCGGAGTAGTCCTAGGACGACATGGTCCCAAACTTTCATTTGATGTCAACGGTATGGTATAATAAACTCTCACTAGATTTCTTTAAATCCATATTTTAAAAGTATACTCTTTTTGTTCTATTATTGATTCTTCCTTGACCATCTCATTCCATTTATTGTTAAAAATTCTATATAATAATTTTAAATTTATTTCGAATTTTTTTAAGAAAATTCAACCCCTGTTGTTTAACTTTTTAAAACTCTATTCTATTATCTAATTTAAAGTAAACAGTAAAAAACATGTTTGTTTTAATATTGACGGAATTCAATTCAAAATTCAATCATATTCTATTAAACTCAAAACATTTAATAATTATTTTTCACAATAAAAGTTTATAAATTAACAAAAACACCCTCACCCACCCAAGCCACTGTCGGCCTACCAACAACCACCGCCGACTGCCCGTCGTCGCCGTAGGCCATCACCGGCCGCCAGTGCTAGAATGACGCACGATCGATCGGATCTGACCGATCATGCGCTGATCTGACCGTTTTTATGGATTTAGCCGGAAACGGCCAAATCTACATCTAGATCTATCTGGTCGTTGATGACAACCACATCTTTGCTATCATTGACGGCCAGATTCTACATTCTAGTCATAGATCTAGCTGTTTCCCGTCAGATACAGTGATACACGATGGATCTGGCCAAAAAATGCTAGATCGACGCACGACCGGCCAGATCCAACCGGTCGTGAGCCATTCTGATGACTGCTAGCCACTGTTTGGCGGTGGTGGTCAACTGTCGACAGTTGATTAGGTGGGTGGGGGTGTTTTTGTTAATTTATAAACTTTTATTTTGAGAGATATTTAGCTAAATTAACAAATATAAGGGGTTAAAAAATAATCTAAATATTTTCAGAAAATGTTTTCAAAAAATGTACTAAACAAATTCTCAAAATCTTATCCTATTTGGTTTAATAATATCTTATCCTATTCAGAATAGTTTTTCAGAATATCATATTTCAAATCATGGTTATTACTATTTTATGATACGCAATACGTATCCTACGATACGATTTGATACGGATTGTCAACAATACGTATCAGAGAATGTATTATAAACCTTTCGATGCATTGATATGTATTCTACAATACGATACATATTGGTTTATATTCTTAAAATATCGATACAAACCGATATAACTTTATTGATTTGGACATTTTTACATGGAATCCTCTCACCTTTTAATAATCAGTTAAAAGTAACCATTTGGGTATTTGCCGTTAAACAAATTGCATTACGGTCAAATTAATGTTGCCCAAATCTTTTTAAACTTTAGATTATAGCATGCCTGGATGAATCTATGATATTATTGGAATGCTGAATCTTTAGAATTAGATGAGACCCATCTTTTAGTAATAATTTATTATAAGACCATCTTTGTTGAATACAACCTGAGGCAATTAAATAATATAATATTAGAATACGAGGTAATTCCTAGTTGCATTTTTTTTTATGGATAACAAATCTAATAAACCTCTTGTATATGAATTTTGATTTGTTTTCTTTATGTTTATGCTTTTTCATTTGTTTTTTTACAGCCTCTTTTGGTCCATTAGATTAAGACTGAGATTTAAATCATGAGAAATAAGAAGGAAAAATTAGATGATATTACGTGGGAGCATTGTAAAAAAGTGAATGAGAAAAATAGATTGCATCTTACATGTACCATATTAGGGTGGTGTAATCCAATGAAAAATCATCTTGATGAAACCCATATCCAAGTTGAGCCATATAGCCAATAATTTTGTGATTAATTTTTACTATGTAATATCATAATTTAAAGTCAATTATGTCACAAAATTCGTTAATTAATCTTAGAGATAATATTAATTTTTAAAATTTTTAATTTATTATTATTATTATTTTTTAAAAAGGTTTATCCTACAATACGATACAATACGCGATACAAGATTTAAAAAATTAGATTTTTGGTATATAATAAAATTTATTCAAATAATGTACAAAAACATGTCCACAATATATAAATATGTAGGGAACTGTATTTGAGTATACACAGAAGAATACAATACAAATGTGAGAAAAATTACATAATCGAGACAATTAAGGAAGATTGAATCAATTTACGGGTCTAACATATTGATATCTTAAAGATCTTGTCATCATTCACATAACCTTGGTCAACGTATAATCTTTGCATCTTTTGAATATGGCAAAAGAAACGGTTAGAAGTCATTTCCTTAACACCAACACGAGCACGTTACAATCGTATTGCATGTGTTATCATCGTTTTTTATTTACTTTTTTTCCCAAGTCTATTTTTTATTTACACATTATTTATAAAGCTCTAGTATTGTGTGGTGATCAGGCAATTCAACACCCTCGTCAAATCCCAACCGATTCCGCGATTATCACGATTTTGTTTTGAGTTACATTGGGATCGTGAAACATTAAGTGCGGTTAAGCATTTGATATGTTTTTTTGGAAATAAATGGAGGGAAATTAGGAAGCCGTGGCCCAGTTAATAATACTTGAATTA